TGCACTGTAATGCATATCCTCAATTCTCTGCAGGTTTCAGCAGACTGCAAATCTGTCAGGGCAGACTCTGCAGGGAAACTGTGTACTTTTCAACGGTCTCCACTATATATAATCTTGCATCACATGATGCAATATGAAACATTATTGTGTGTCAGATGACACTAGTGCTCTATCCTGTTTATCTTCCCTTGCAAGTGCAAGGTCAAAAATGCTAAACAAAATTTGTTATGTTTTTAGAACTCAAAACAGGTTGGCCATGTGCTGTATATTCAATCTTAAACTATCACTTGTCATGACAGACCGGAAGCAAGTGCCTAAATAAGCATTTGATATCAACAGTAACCCTATATTATAGAACAGCTCCCATACCTGTTGGTTTTGGTCCATATTTACCTCAACCTCATGGTGTAAAATCCAACATTGCAAACATTCACCCAATAAATAAATGTAGAGAATTGTACAGAACAGGCTAAACAACTGTGCTGAGTCTAACAAACCCAGATAGATGGTGTTGCTATAAATTCTTGAGGAACTGCATGGTGGAATAATGTGTTTACATTTGTTTAAAGGCTTTCTTTTACTCTTTTGTTAGCTCAAGCTATAACTCAGGTTTTAGCATGGAGTGGGGGAACTGAATCTGAAGTGGTGCTGATGTTGAAGCTAGGTTTAAATTGATGATACAGCACATCAGATGCCAATCATTCTGTGCTGTTGTTAATCACAACAGTTTATGTAGCTTGAGCTTGGTTTTGCATTGTGAATACTCATGCTCTTGGGTCACATGAGCTAGGATAGATTAGATACAATAACTCAAGCTGAGTAATTTGAGCTAAGTTTTTCAGTGGAGAAAAGCCCTAAACAAGTCTTGAACTCTGCCAGTCAACAGCAAAGTCAGGAGGAGAACCCGGGAGTGCTGCAAAGCAGGGCATTGGCATAGTGACCTGATTAGTGATTACTAGATATTACAGCAGGATAGATGTATTGGATATAAATAATGCTTTACCTTATATGCTTTTGCGCACGCTCACACACACACTCCCAGTGAAAATGCAGAAACAGATAATGGAAGATACTACACAGAAGTAGGGTGACATCTATGAAAGCATATGCTTCTCTGAACTAGTCTCTAAGGTGCCACCCTGCCCTGCTTTCTACATATCAAGTAGTAAGAGAGAAAACAAATGAAGGTTAAACTGAGGTTCTGATAATGAGGACTGAATATGTTCTTAAAAGACCTCCAAACAATGGCAGTCATATTCTTATGCAAAGGTCTTGTGGCTTCTTGTTAAAATGATTAAATAACAAGATGTGCTTCTCATTTATTTGTAGCTTGACAAATGTAAAACTTTTCATTTAAATGGCTTCACTTTTTAGGCCATTATAAATTATTCCAAGGCTAGAGGTGTGGAAGCCATAATGGTGACAACTTCTATTACACTGTCATTATCTACAGCTCAAACTGAGAAAATAATTCCAGAAAGGAAAATTGCAATAACATGGCCTTTTAGTTCACTGCCACGCCTTTCACACGTCCCTCATTTTGGACCCAAATGTTCATCTCTTCCTCAGAAACCACTATTATTAGTTTAAACTATTTACCATACATCAGAAGTGTTAAACAATAAAGCTATAGCTGCAGAAAATGGTGTTTATCCCCCCCCCCCCCCAC